TCCAGGCCAAAGAAGTTAACATTGCCCAGCTGCAGAAAATCCCAGTGGCACAGAACTAAGAAATCTGCCCACAAGCTGTTTAATATCCCATCAGGGTTCATATCCTGCAGTCCCAAGAAGATGAGACCCCAAAACACCTCTCAGCAACCTAGGACAAGGTGAGCAGTCTGGCAGAAGATGTGCTTCATCCCTGCTCTCTTGCATGTCCAAGCTTGTGCTCTAAAACCAGCTCTTACTCAGCCTTGTCCTTTCTTGGGCCCCTGTCCTCACTTAACCCTGTTTCCAAAGCGACTGAGGAAACTCAACACAGGAGCCTGGCCGTGGTCACCAACAGGAAACCAGCTGGAGATGCTGCTGGGAGCTGGTTTTGTGTGGAAAAAGGCAGGTGCCGAGTCCTCCAGCTGAGCACCAAACCAGGCAGGAAACACTTGAAACAGGTTGAAAAGGCAGTTATGGGAAGAGTAAATACACAGCTCCAGCGCTCAGCAAGCCACCATTTCCCAAAGGCATTGAGAATCAAGGACCTCAGCACGAGAGCTGCTGTTGCAGCACGAACAGGCCAAGCACTGAGATATCTATATCTATATGAAACACTCAAAGCATTTGCAGCCGAGCACCACCAAGGTCAGCTGCAATGAAATCAGGGCCCTCTTATAAGAATCAGCAAGGGCAGAGTTCAGCTCCAGCCATTTCAGGACATAAGGAATTGGCCTACACATCCCCTGGACCTGCAGCAAATTCCTCCAGCACCTCATACCCCACCTTACAGGATCAACAGCAGGAGAAATCAGAAGTCTTTTCATGTTTTAAACTAGCTACTGCAGTTGCAGCCAATATTCCAGCCCCATCTAACCATGTTTTAACACTTAACCTGTTTCCCTCCAGTAACCCCCTGCAGCAGCGAGCCCCACCAGCAGGATGTACATCATCACCAAAACCAGCCTGGGGCACAGCGATGGGCAGAGGGACCACGGCCAAACCCCTCCCCAGCCATGCTGCAAGCACCACCATTAAAGATTTGGGGGCTCCTGGGGGATCAGCCCCTGACCCTGCTGGACTCCAGCAGTAAAACAGAAGTAAAAAATGCTTGGAAAAAGATAAACCCAAAGATTTTAAATTCTAAAGAGGAGGCAAGAAAAGGGCACAGAAAACTCAATCTCTCGCCTGCAGAGCCCTTCCCAAAGCGCCTCCCGCATCCAAAATTTATAGACTTGCCTGCTCTCCTTTTTTATCTGGATCTTTGTTTGCAGAACAAACTCTCTCAGTGGCCATTTCAAAACAAAGGAACCTTTGTCTGTGTTTACTTGACAGCAGCGGATTAGGATAAAATAACTTGCATTTCAGAAGGGGGGTTTTTAATTCTTGTTAAGATGTTAAGCTGCTGCTGCATCGAATCACCGAGCAGAGAACCCATCTGAGGAATGATTTCTGGCACACGCTGAGAAACTTGGCTGTTGGAGAGAGCCTCTGAGAAGGGGATTCACATATAACAGTAAAATTTAGAATGGGATTAACTTTTGGACTGTGATATTATTCGGTGCTCCTTTTCAGGCTCCTGACTTGTATCTATCCTCATTTTGGTTTCGATCAGCTGCTTACACAGTTCAGAAGCCAAGAAAGCTCTGGACAAGTGTGGGGCATTTTTGTAAGCTTCCCCTTGGATTACAATATCCAAGGTTCAGTGCTGGGCTGGTCAGGACACCCAGGGAGAAACAGGAACAGCCCTAGCCTAGATGGGACCATGAACCATGAGCTTCACTACTTACCCACAAATGGTATTCCTTGGATGCAAATGACTTTTAAGCACTCGGCTGCAGACATTTAAGGGCATGGGCAGCTTCACTTGCACAGCATCACTGCTGAGCCTGGCAGGACACATGGGAGCAAGGACTAGAGCAAAGAGCCACAAAAGCCAGGATCACTCCCAGGAAGGGCCTCCAGAGCCAACAGTCACCAGGCACAACATACCCAACTAAACACAGCAGCTGCACGGGTAAAGCAGCCCACACCCAGAGCACGTGGGGAGAGATGCTGCCAGCTTGTGATGAAGAATTAATCAATTAATGAATAATGCTCAAAAGGGCCCATTAAATGCAACACTTGGTGAGCTCATGTGGAGAGGAGAGTGGCAGCTGGGACTAAGCTCCTTCCCCAGGCAGGACCACCAGTGCACTCCAGAGCATTTCACACCAGCAGATACTCGAACCTTCAACACATGGCAGACTTGAGGCCACGCACCCAATAACTCCTCCAAAGCTAACAGCCCTGAACCTGTCCGTGTTTCTGTGAACACTGGCCCAATTTCCACTATTACCTACATCAAGAGCTGATCAGCCCAGCAAAATTAACCTGCTCCTTTGTGCTCACCTCAGACCACACTGTGCACTTAACAGCAACTATAACTAGCAGTATTTCTTGGCTTTCCTTGGGATCCATAACACATGTTAGTCAATGTCAGTTTGTTATCCACACAGACCTATTGAGACATCGCAGTACTAATAAGCAGCACATTCAATTCTGTTCCCATCAACCTGCACCAGCTTCGACATACGTCCAGTGCTCCTCCACGTGGGCTCAGCACCACTCCAGACAGGAGGGACCTCTGGGTCCCTTCACTAACCTCCTGCCCCGCATAGAGCAGAGACAGGGTTAGACCTGCCCACAGCCTCACATGTTTGTCTCCAAGGATGGAGTTTCTCCACTTTGCCAGCTTCCCGGAGGCTTTCACTCCCCATTTCCCAGGGGGACCAGTAGGCATTGTCCCTACGTAGCGGTATGACAAGGAAAGCTGACCCCCAACAGCCTGAATCCGGTGTTACAGAGCTAGCAAAAAGCCTCCCAGGTTAGTCCTCTGGACAAAGAATATAATCTTCCAGAACAGTATCCCTTCTTCCACAGACAGGAGAAAGGATGCTTCATGTTTCAAAAGGGTGTGCAAGACCATGAATGAACCAAATCTTCCCCAACAAGAGTTGCAGCAACAGCCAATTTGGCAGCAATTCATCTGGAAGCACTTCCTTGCTTGGCAAATCCATTCAATAAAGGAAAAAAATGGGTTTACATTGAAATTTTGCTCTTCCCAACAAAGCAGGACTTGTCTTAGACAGCTACATAGCCCAGAGACCAAAAGGTTGAAATATTAGAGGACCTTGATCATGATGTTTTTTTTCCTTCTTTAAATGGGACCAACCAGCCATCGCCAGACCTGTAATGTCCAGACCTGTGCAGCCTCAGAGGAAAGCAGCAGGCACTTCTCCTAGCTGGCAAGGCCAGGACTCACAGCACACCCCTTTAGCAGAGCCAAGGGGGCTGGAAGAGGGCTGGAATCTCGGATGCAAGAAGGTTTACACACCTCACACCCATTTACACCTCTTGATTTAATCACAAAGGCAGTAATCTCAGAGGTGTGAGAGCCTGAAAAAGGAGGTTTCTTTGGATCCAGCTCCAGGACTGTGCTATGCCCGGTAAACAAGAGACATGTAAGGATGGGAATCAGTGGAGTAAATTGTGGCTTAAATTTGATAATAAGAATAATGATGGGAAAAGCTATTCCACTCCAAAGCATCCAGAAAGGGGATAAAGAAGCTGAATAATCATCTTGTTGCCACAACTTTAGAGTCCTCTGGGGTGGGACCAGGGTTTTCTGGAAACCTTTGCTGCTGTCTGCAGCACAACCTGTGCCAGCCCTCAGCTCAGGCTGGTCCCATGGTTAATCAGGACCCATTTGCCTTTCCTCTAGTTGTCTGCAAACCCCCTGGAGATGCTGGGGCTCTCCTGGGACAGAGGGAAGCTGCAACAAATGTCACCTTTTATTCTGAACTTAGAAATCTTTTCAGGACCCAAGTCCTCAAAAGCCAAGTTTGAAGAAAGTGGTGGTCCAAGGCCTTCTTCTGCCCACCCTCCTCATCTGCTGTTCCTCATCCTGAGAAGGAAGAAATACCCTATAACCAGGCTTCACCCACCAGCCATCCCAGGAGCAGTGCCTGGCATGGGGACAGGGACATTAACACAGCACCCACGCTCCTTGCACAGCAGGTACCTTGACCATGGTAAACACCAATCCTGCAACCTGCCCTGGCCAGGCTGAGGTCAGCCAGTCCCTTGGAGAAGGGGCTTAATGGAGCTGGTGATGGGGACAATTAGGGGAGCACAGGGGAAGCAATGCCAGCTGCCGGGTGCTCTATCCATGGGGGAGAAAACAAAGCCAACTGCACATCCATCTCTCTGGAAGTCAACTGGGCAGTTAACAAGCACCATTCCACTTCTGGAAACCACCACATTAGTCCTCTTCTTCTGTAGGAAAGCAACTAGCACTTCCAGCACCACAAGGAAAGGATTTATTGCCCAAAAATCCCATACCAGGTGAAGCTGGGGGGCTCAAATCCATCCACACCTTTGGTATAGAGGAGGAGACCAAGCAGAAAGCACACTTGCTAAAAATCAGAATATTTATCTTCTACATATCAGTACCTCCATGAAACCACAAAGGCCTTTTATTTTCCCATCCCTAAGGGACAATTTCCACTCCCTGCAGACCAAAACTGCCCCAAAACACTGCCCAAAACTGCCCAAAGCCCTCCAAGCACCCAAGCCAAATCCTCAGCACATCAGCCTGGGTGCAGGCCATGCGACCCACACCACCTCCAGCTGAAGGTCTAATGCCATCAGCCCTGGTCACTGGTGTTTCCCCATTCCTCTGCTGTAGAGCCAGGGTCAGCATCCACACTCCAACACAAACACATCCCCACTGTGAACACCTCTGGATGTGAACACAGCCAGGCTTTAGCCACACAGCTGCCAAGTGCCTGCACCATGGCAAGAAGGACTAACAGGATCCCAAGCTGTCCTGACACCCTCAAAACAGGTCAGGAGGGAGCCTTGGGAATGGAGGCATTTGAGCACCATCCCCCCTGCATCCCTGGTGCCCGTCAGAGCTGGACCATGCACATGGGGGTCATGGAGCATCCTGTGGGACAGGACGGGCATGGAGCAGCACTCACCTTCGGTGCGGATGGTGAAGGGTGAGTCCCCCAGGCGCTTGGCTGAGAACTGCCCTCCCAGCGATGTCATTAGGAAGCACAGGGTGAAAAATCCAATGCCCAGCACGAATATCCTGCGGGAGGGAAAGCAGAGCTGTAGAGAGGTGTGACAAGGAACTGGCTCGCTCCTGGGGCGGCCCCAGCATCCTTCACCCCCCTGCGGTAACCCCTCTGCACAGCAGCAGGAGCTGCTGTTTGAGGTGTCTGGAAGAGACAGCCAGGACAATCCCTGCCTCCATCCCTTAGGCTGAGCCTATCCAGCCTGGGCAAGGAGCACCTCTGCAGCCCCAGCCCTGCCAGAGCACACCAGCACCTCACCCCAGTGACAGCCAGACCCACACATGCTTCAGGAAAAGCCCCAAGACGCATCTGCCCAAACCCCAGCACTGAGCAGGGGAGTTTTGCCTGAGAACACCCTCCAAAATCCCTGCAGGTTGTTCCTATGGCAGGCCTCGAGATGGAGCAGAGGGCTTTCACCTTAGGTGGGAAAGCTGTGTCATACCATGATTGCCCTTACAGTGCCCTATTAGACCCAGCCCAATAGCACACACCGCAGGAACCACTACAACGAGCAATAACCACCTTCCTCCTGGGAAAGTCCAGGGAAAAAAAGAGACCTTGTACCTTCCCTTCCTCCAAAAGGATCTTAAAAAAAACCCCAAACCACATTTTTGGTAAGAAAAAAAGTCTTTTGTTCCTGCTGTAACGAGGCAACTGGTATTTGCCATTGTGTCCGGCATCACCTGCACAGCACAGGCAGCCCCATGCACAGCAGGATGAGAAGGGACAAGTGCTGGTGGCACACACCGTGACCTGGGACCATCCCATCACCGCTTTGTTCATCCAGGCTGGCAGGAAAGTGGGATACACCAGCCAGGATACTCACCTGCACATCATTCCCAGCTGAGCTACTGATCACCTCCAGCTACATGAGAGGCAGAAGCTCTCAGCACTGCTCCTGTTCAGGCCAAATTCAAGCTGGTAACTTTATTTGGGGGTGAAAAGGCTGAAGGCAAGAGCTTTGTGCATGAGGAGAGTTATTGTGCACAAAGGAGGGATGGACACTTGGCCTCTTTCCACCTCTCAGAGATGCTGCTGCTACTTCCAAGTCTCCACAGAGGTGCAGAATCCTCCAAGCAGGTACATGGGCAGTGCTGCTGCCAGGCACCATGTACAACAGCTCCCAGAGCCGTGGCTGTGCTGGGAAACTCAGTAGCCTTGTGAAACAACGGGTTTGTCTTCAAAGAGATAAATCTATGTGGGATAAAGGAGCTGAGCAAACCCTCAAGGCCCTGAGCCAATGGGAAGCAAGCCACTGAGGACAGGAGCCAGTAACTCTCCTTTACAATCTCATAGCATTATCCACAGAGCTCTGGATCTGCTCGCAGAAACACAGCACAGCCACCCAACACCAACAGAGGGCTTTTCCAGAGAACAGAACACCACAACCCTCCATCTAATCATTATTGTGCAGTTAAAAGGCAGAGGATCAGGAGCCAACCATTAGGTCTGGGCTCCAATGTGCCAGCGTTGTAATTATCTATTGCTGGAAAGGGCTGGCTAATAATGTAACTTGCTCCAAAGCACTTGTTAGCTACAGGAGATGTGGGGAGCAGAAGTACAGCATCAAACAGCTCAAGGACTGGGCTTCCTCAATGAGATCTATTGGAGGAGCTCCCAGGGTAGGTCCCTACTGTATCAGCATGGCATAGGGAGGCTTGTCCACATCTCCTGGACAAGACATGGAACCTTCACAAGCTCCCTACCTCCATCCCATGAGCTCCAATGCTGCTCTCATGCAGCAACACACACCAGACCCAGGGCAGCTCTCAGCCTCAGGCAGCTCAAGAGCAAAGGGTTTCCTCTGCCTGCTCCGAGGAGGATCATCCCTGCCCACCACAGACAGACACTGAACCCCCATCCTCACCCCAGGTCAGCCCTGCCCCATCCTCAACTGGGTCCCAGCAGATCAGGGTCCCCTGGCCATGGGTGCTGGACCAGCAGCAACCTGCAGCTCCCCATTCCCTTCTCACCTAATCAAGAGAAAAAGCAACACCTTATGCTCATCAGCATCAACCAGCTCTGCCAGCAGCACGCTCAGCACCAGCACAAACCCTTCTGGAGAGCCACAGCCTGGAGAGCTGACCTGCCTAGGAGAGGGGGTGCTCTAGTGCATCAGTAGAACTGCCCGACATCCCTGCAGAGGCACCTGGGAAGTGAAGCAGCACAAGTCCCTTTATTTCCAAATGAGCCTGCCCTGGAAGGTAGAAATCAGCTCTAAAAAGCATCATGCACTCGGCTAATCCAGCCATTCCCCCCTCAGATGCCGATGAGCCCAGAGCTGCAGTGTTTGCACACAGAGATAACTCCAGACCTCAGCCCCTCTCCCAAAGCAGACCTCAAGAAGCATTTCCAGAGGGTTGTGGTCCAGCAAAGAGGTGACTGCAGAGGCAGCAAAGCATCCCTGATGCTGCAAAGCAACGTGGTGGCCTATAAATGGCTTGGAGACGGGGTGATTTGGGGACATTAGTCTGTTCCCATTATCACACCCTGTGCTCAGCCACACAGCACAGCACTGGATCTGGAAGAGACTGTTGGGGATTGCAGCACGCAGCTTGGCTTTGAAGGACTGAATTTATCCTTAGAGCAGGAGTTGAGACTGTCTGTGTGGCACCTCCTTGTCAGGAGAGAACAGCAACACAGTGAAGAAGGCCCAAGCTGGAGGAGGAGGTCACAGCCCCGCCATGCCCCACAACCAAGAGTCCTCCCTGAGAGCACACCATGGCACAAAACCCACCCAAAGGTGCCATCCTGCTGCCAGATGCCCCTTCTCCAAGGGGCATTTTAACAAAGCATCACCTGATGAAATAATCAGATTTGATCCTGCTCTTCATTCTCACCCCTCCTATTGACAACATCATCATATGCAAGACCTTTCATCTTCATAATTGTACTTTGGCAAGGAGTGATGGTTAAACACCAAGAGGAAGGAAAGAAAAAGAGGAAGGAAAAAGATACAGAGGTGATCTGTGCTGGAATGTCTCATTAGGAGACACAATCTTTATTCATTTTGACTGGATTACATAGAGAGCAGGAAAGACACAGGATGCCTTTTCCCTGACAAAGAAAAGAGATCAGAGCCTAACTGGGATTGATGTGCTTAGGAGAGGATACATCCCAGCAGCGGTGCTCTGGGAGCAGGGAGAATGCAGGGATGGGCTCTCAGCCTGAGGACCCTCATCTCTTTTACTTGGTGCTGATCTTCTCTAGGTGAGTAAAAATGCTTGGCCCAGCCTTAGCTGAGCAGAAATGCCTTATGCAGAAAGCAAATACCATGAAGGAGGTAAAACATACCAGACACCAGATCTTCCAAACTGCCCATCAAATGCACTAGGTCCTCTGCCCCACAAATCCGGTCTAACTCACTGAAGAGCACGGAGCTCCAATGACCAAGTAGCATCTCCTCTGCTTGCTGGCTTTGCCTGCCATCCCTCATCATGTTTAATTCATCACCCAGACACAGTTCTGGTGCCAAGTCGCTCTCCACATTCTCCCCAAACTGACATGTTCACAGCTCCGGGTCTGGCTTTGTGCCCAAAAGAAAAGGAAGCCAAATTCTTCGAGTTGTTAGTGAAAATGGGAAGTGATGCCCCAGTCACTGCAGATCCAGGCCCACGGAACTGAAGGTGCGATGAGGACAGGAGGGTCTGAGTGACGAGTGGGGAGGCAATGGTGGGGAGGAAGGCCAGCAGCACCCAGCAGGATGGGGCTGTGACACTGGGGCTGCAGCACCCAGCAGGGACCCACAGGGGAACTATTACGCAGGTGCATGAGGAAACCAAGGGCTACAGAGACAGGTAAAAGCTTTTATTAGACAAGTTTTCAACACCCAAGTCTCTTTAAGCCCCAAAACTGAGCCACAGTTTCTCACAGCAGCAGCAGCCAGGCAAATAAAAGATGCTCCCTCTCCCACAAACCTTGTTCTGCTCAGAGCCTGATACCATCACAGTGCTGCCAAAGTGATGCTCAGCCATGGGAATCATCCTCCACAAAGGGGACCAGAGTGAATTCTCTTACTGGCCAATGTTCTAGACACACAGAAAGCCTAGCTTTCATTTCCAGCTGGCAAACTTGCCTGAACTCCCCATGTTCTGCAAACCCAAGAGCTGGGTGAGCCAGTCCAGGACTCCACAGTTGAATTCTTCCCGAATCCAGCACTGTCACAACTGAAACACCCTTTGCAGCTGAGGTGAAGAGCCATCCTTGGGCAACTCTACAAATGGTTTCTGCATTGATTTGCTCTCTCTCCCCCTCAGTTTGCTGCAGGCGCTTTCACAGCTCAGGGCTTTGCACTGCTTTGTAAGCGTGTATGGAGCATGGTTAATGAAATGTTTTGGTGCAAAGGGTCAGGTTTCCTGATGGCTGTTTGCTGATGGCACCACTACCAGGAGCCTTTACCAGGCAGGGGATCACAGCATAGCTTCTGTAGGCTTTCTGTAGTCACCAACAAGCACTGGATTTACAGGACCCATCCTGATTGCCAGCATTCTCTCCCACTCCTGTACATCACCCCTGATTCACATCACCTGATAATGTGGGGTGCTGTTTTTAGGGAAGCAGCACTGATCTGTACCAGCTTACAGCTGGGCAGTGCCAATGGGCTGGGAACAAGGTGACACAGGACTGTGATGTGGAGGGGTCATGCTCAGCATGATACCAGCATGGAGGAGGTGCAGAGCTGGATGCTGCGAGACAGCTAGGAAAGAGCCTTGGGAATTTCTCCTCTCACACAGGGAAAGCCTGACTTATTAACAGCAAGGTAACCCCACTGATTCCAGTGGCACCCGTGTGGGTCTGCACTGGTTTGAGAGCAGAAGTCACCCCAGGGCATGCAGACAGGATGATGTAGGTGCTTTGCTCTGGAAAACAGGGACCCTCCAGCCTGGTGCTCTCCTGCTATCACAACCCCTTCATCCACACACATCCTCATCTCCAATGGGACTTTGTGATCACCATGCAACTCACTCCCGGCGCTCCCCCATCCGGATGCCAGGTGACTGATCCAGAGGGGCTTCCCTTGCCCCAGGGGTGATGCTCAGGGCATTGGGGAGAGAGATGCTCAAGCCAGTCACTTCTTGACCAGACTTCAAATCCACTTAAGAAAGCAAATAGCCAAGCAAAGAGCGCACCCCTGGGGTGCATGAGTCCTTCCCACCTCTCTCACAGTCATTCCCCAAGCTTGGAGGAAGCCCAAGCTGTGGAGACCCTCATGCTCCTGCTCCACCACCGCTTTCCCACACCCCCCTTGGCCAAGTTCCTCAGCCCCAGGG